TCTCAAATTTTTTTTTTTTTTTTTTGGCTGAATTTGAGTTTGTGTATTGTCAGGTGTATTTGTCAGCCACTAACCTTTTAAGTGGAAAAAAAATAATGCACATATTTATAATATATTAATTTACAGTATCTAAATGTGTTACCTGTTTGGTTCAATCACATGGCAGGTGATCAGACTTGTCGCACACAGGGTTGTCAGTAAAACCCCTAACCAGTGAAGACTTGACCAGTGTACAGAGTGATGCAGAAAGCATGTGCTCCATGCTGCCTGAACAAATCACATCAAAAGGTGACCTTCTGTTATGTTATCAGGTTGTAAAAGCTCTTTTGGAATCTTTATTTTTAAATCCATTACGAATATCATGCAAGCCCTTTTATACAGTTCTCTCTGTGTTGTTGTAGGACAGATGACAGTTGAGTATGAAGCTGAGACAGAGCTTCCACCGAGGAAAAGCCGAATTGTCTCTAATAAGAGATATGTTACAAAAACCGATATGCATGCAAATCATCAGTGAGCTAAAATACGTACTGTAGATCCCTGCTGTGACACTCTTTGAGACGAAGACGATGTCAGTAAAACCCTTTAAGCAAACTCTCCTTTCAAGAGGACATAATTGATAGGTATGTTGTCTGTACTTATGCTAGGTTTTACAACAAGACAAGACTTTTTGCTTGCGTTTTCTAAACCGGCTTTCGGGCTGTGTTTTAATGCTGGGGATTTTCCTGTGAAACTGTCTGTGGATTATATCGTTACACCAGTAGGTGGCAACAAGTGACTGTCTGTATGAGTTAATCATTCAGTCAACCTATTTGTTTAAAACTGATTAATTCAGGTACAAAATAAGCATCTTTAGCCAGTAATTGAATCATTCACTCAACCGATTCTTTACAAAAATGCAGGAACTATATTTCTATAATTTCATGCTGTATACAATCTCTAAATAATAAACATTTTTTTAAATTATGAATATGAGTTTGAAGTCTGAATTGAATGTGAAGTTATTTTAAGGAATTCAGAAAGGCTCACAATTACAAATTCGAGTTACTGATTGAATCATGTTCTGAATTGCAAGGAATGGTTACTTTCAGCGATGTCTTTCTCAAAATGAAGCAAGGTTCATTAAATTTAAATTGTGGTTGTTCATAAATGACCTCAACAATTACTGATAATATCTGAATTAACCATGCGTTTAAATTGAGTGATTATATTAGCTAAAAAGGTGTTCATTATGCAATGGAATGCTGACTTTGTCATGAAACTGGGTAAATCGTGCGAGAAAGAGACTTAGCTAGCCTACTTAAACTACACTAAAAAGTGAACTAAAAAGAGATTATGCAAAGCAGGTACAATAATAATAATAATAATAATAATAAAATAAGATAAAAAAAAAAGAAATTGTTCAAACTATGGTACTTGCCATAAAAACTGTTTTATGGGAACTTTTATCTCCCTACCTGTAGGAATCCTCAGCATTACCATCATACCAAATTTAAATGTTATTTTCATAAGGGTTAAATATTCTTTGCACTTCTGGAATACATAATAATATCAATATTCAATGCACTGGCTTGCAGTACAGCTTCAGTAACTTTGATTTTAGAGAAAATACTGTTTCTGTACTCACCGGCTCGCAGCTGTCATCCATGAAAGCTCTAATTGTGAGCACTGAAAGGCACTGTGACAGTTTCTTACATGTTTGTGTCTCTTTGTGTATGGCAGGGGGCTGGGGGGATGCTGCCCACCAGCACATGTTCTTAGAGATGCCAACTGACTGTCATATGTCAGATACAGAGCACTGAAATCATCTCCATGCAAACATGCACAAATCGGAGAATTAAATATTCAGTTCGGTCTCATATTTAAGCTATACAGCTTTGAAAAACTCTCTTTAAAACAAGTTAATCAAGCTGCACTAAGTATAGAGGCAGCTAGAGAGAAATGAGATATTGTGTGACCATGCGCGCTTATTAAATGTCGTGTCATCTGAATCAGAGAGGACGTGACCAACATGCATAACAGTCAAACACATGCACAACTACAGCAAGCACTCTTAATAAGGGTCATGTTGTTGGCTCAAACAAAAAACTGCCAGAGGATATCAAACATGTGTCCCCACCGCCAAGATTTATAATTTTTTTTGCATACTTTAAAATACTTCATAAAATAAGTTAAATCGATTCTAAATATACTCTTTGTAGACTAAATATACTCTTTATATATATATATATATATATATAAGAGGTCGACTGATAGTGGATTTTACCGATAATGATTACTAGATTGGACCGCGTTGGCCGATTAATCTGGCCGATTGTTGGATTGAATTAAGACAAGAAACAAATTCACTCAAGTGTTTTTGGGTTTTGACCTTTATTTTTGTTAGTGTATATTATATATCATTATATCTGAGGCATTTGAAAAATTGAATCGAAAGCATGTGATGAAAAAATATTTATGTGAAGCCACTTTAATTCTCACTTTCTCACTTCCCTATCTCTCTCTCTCACTCTCTCTCTGTCTCTGTCTCTCTCTCCATCCCCCTCCATTCCCACCGTGCACAGCTGTACTACGGCAGACACACATATTCTCTCAGATTCTCCATCAACATTATGCTTCTTCAGTTTTCCACTTAATGTTTTTGTCGCTCCAGTTTTTCTGCGCTGAAGGCTACTCATCATTCTTCATCTCAATCAGCCTCTCCATTATACATCTCCACACTCCATCCTTTTTAATCATCTCCTTTACCATTTCATCTGTTTCCATTTGTGCTTGCCCTTTCTCATCCCTTTGTCTCTGAACTCTTTCTTGATTTCACCCTGGTCTCATCTCCACTTCACTGCCTGTCTCTTCTTTTCTTTTTCTGTTCTTTCTCCGATGGAGGCTGAGGCACTTTACAGTTTCAGAGCGACTGAATGTGATGAGATCAGTTTCCAGAAGGGTGACATCCTAAAGGTGAGTCTGAGTGAGCATGCAATAGTTTACTGTGGATATAGAGCACACTTGGATGAAACTGTAAGGATGCTAGTCTGCATGCTGCACCTTAGCAGAAAATACTAGATCAGTGAGTCAGTTTGGTGGGAGTGTGTGCATCGGTGTTATATATTTCAGAAAGGATTTCTGTGTGATTAGGTGATGATATATGTAGCTGGGCAGCTTGTGGGATGGGACAGTACAAGATAATTCTTGTGTGAAGATTATTTTATAGGCTACTTTATAAAACAGAAAACCATATATGGTAAAGTCAGTAAAACACACTGCCATTGTCAGTTATTTGATTACCAAATTATGTTATCTGGGGAATTACATACAGTTACCATGGATACTTGAAAAGTCTTTTAAATTTCCACTACCTAAGCAAATGGTTTAATTATTAAGATTTAAACTGTCAAAGTATGATTGCAGAACATTTCTGAAAAGCATATGCAGAAAATTCAATTACCCTACTTTGGTAAATGCACTTAAAATAGCCTGATCTAGTGAAATGTTCTGGTCCAAATGTTTTTGTCAGCTGAACCCCATTTGATATAACATATTTACTTGAAGTATTTGAAGGTAATATTTCAATAGTAAACAACATATTTAATCTCTTTTAGTAAGTGTTTTATTTAAACATATCAATATTTTTATTTTAAAAATATATTTAAAAACATTAATTTTAAAATATTTATTTTTTCATATTTCCCTATTCTTAAATGAGGAGAAATATCTAACTGATAGTGGACATCTGAATACTGATCTTATGCTTATTTTAGGTGACAAACATGGATGATGATCCGAACTGGTACACAGCTGAGCTGTTTGGTAGGCGGGGCTATGTACCGAAGAACTATATCAATGTAAGACCTCACACGTAAGTATCACATGACAAAAGTGGCTTATATGTGAATGACAAGGCAAAAGTCATTTAGGCAAATCACTACAAGCAAAAACATTGTTTTTCCATGCACTGCTACATTTTGAGTCAAGTCTTGCTTTTCATTGTGTGTTGTTTCAGACAAGTAATGTTGTTAGTGGAAAGGTAACATCCAAAATACACTTTTAAGTGTTTATGTTATTGCACTTAATCCATTTGTGTCTGTATTTCAATTACAATACTTTCATTAAAGGCCATTTTCTCAAAATGAGTTGTTTTCTCCTGGTGGGGGTTGGGAGTTATATGGTTTTCATACATCACACATGTTTTCTAGCTGTTTTACAGTATTTTCTGATTTATGGGGTGATAGAAAGATATCCAAAACCGCTTCTGTAAAAAAAACTTTAATATGTCAACACAATTAAACAAGAATTTTGAACATGGCTTTAGCCAATGTTTAGATGTATGCTTTGGAAATGCATGCACATTTGCATATTTAATTAGATAATGCCTCATTTGCACATTTCAGAAAATTTGTACTACAAAAATGTTTGGAATCCATAATGTAATCAATAAATTGGGAACTATACTGATATCTATAAACTATTATTTTGATCCTATTCACCTGGGGTGTCGTAATGTTTTGGGAAACCTTTGCAGTCTTTATTTTACCTTTTCTTAGAGGGAAATATTAGTTCTAGCCATACAATAATAAAAAAAACGAACAATTCAAGTGAAGACAGCTTAGTCATATGTTCAGAGTCCATTATTGTGACCTTTTTTTTTTGCAGAGATGCTGTCTGAACTGGAAAGTAGGACATTTCCAGAATCCATTCATTTTATATTTTTCACTTTTACCTTATTTGTAAGTCTGATATCTCTAGTAGTCTGTGGTCCACAAAGCATTTGGTAGGTGTTGCTTTCTCCGTGGTTCTGAATGTTGTATTTGTGTTGGGCAAGGTGGATGGTGATTACATCAGCTGGAAAGGTGCTGTTGGATGCCTAGCTGGAGCACGTTTAGGGTTGGGTTTAGGATTGTATTGTAGAATTAATCTGCATCATCCAGACTTAAAAAAAAAAAGATTTTTTTAAGAAGGAAGGATTTCCCAGCATTACGCCGCAATGTGAGGTCACATGACTCACAAACAGCTGTGGGTGTGGCCTTCCCAATGGTGTGACTAGGATTGAAACTGCTAGGTAAGGACATCTGCTAAGTAAGGACTTCCTTACCCTCCAGTTTTACCATGACATGGAAGATTGAGAACCTTGTGAGGCATTGAGGATTAGCAAAAGTCAAAGTCCAGACCAAACCCCAACAAACATGCTGTGGCCTGATCTAAACATGGCAGTTTATGACTGAGAACCTATACCAATCATTCTGAATTAAAAGGATGAGCCAGTTCAAATTCATGATCGTGATAAAAAAAGATAGGACTGATTGAGATCAAATGCTGGCTTACGATAAATGCAGCTGAAGCTACTTATTAAGCAAAAGATGGCAGAACGTGTTCTCACAATTAAACATGTCATTTCACTATACATCATGCAAGGACTAAAACATCAAGTGAGAAAACAATGCACAAACCTCTTAAAACTTACATTTTAATTCTATAAGAAATTTTATAAAGGGGAATCAATCCCTCTGAAATCCCCCTGGAAAAAAATAGATGTTTTTAGAACTTAAATAGCAGGTTTAAAAAGTTCACATGGCTTTTTGTGTTAAATTCACCTATTTATTATTTTAAGCAAGTATATTCATTTAAACAAAACTTAAAGTTGCAAAATTAGAAAATGTGCTATATTGCAATAATAATTTGGCATCTCTGTAGCTAAAATATAAGATCATGGCACAAGCAACACCGAGGTCATAGGTTAATTTCCCAGGGACTGCATAAACTGACAGAATATATGCCTTAAATGCTATGTAAAAAGCCTAAACGCCAAATGCATATATGTAAATGTAATAGCTGCTTGTTTAGATCAAGTTCAACTTCAAATCTTATGAGTTTTTTGCAGATTATTCCCTTTTATTTATGTGATTCTAAATTATTCAATATTATGTGCTTCATCTAATGTATTCTCTATAAAAATGTACATGGAGAGTAAAGTGCTTGAGACAAAAACAAAAACAAAAAACAACAACAACACCACATAAAATACTTTCAAAAGTCACATATTGTAAACCTCAAAACACATGAAACACAGACACGAAAAACAACCAACTAACCATTTTAACAGAGGAATAGACTTATCATTTGTGTGCAAATCAACAACAACAAAGTAAATATAACTGGCAAATGGTCAAACAATGCAACCATATTAATTATTCATGGCCTGGTGCATGCTGGAGACAGACTGGGACTAAACCACCACGAATCAATTTTTCAGTGTAGGCCAGTATAGAACAAAAAATGCATCAACATTTTCAATTAAAAGATGCTGTTCTTGAAAGCTGTATTACAATAAACATTTAAAAAATTATTTTTCAGTAGTAAATTAAGATAATTGTAAATAATTTTTTGTCAAGAAAATACTATTTCAGACTTCAGAATTTCACATTTAATTCAGTGTTACTTGCCATTACATGAAATTTTCTAGCAATTTCTGAGTTAATTTTTTTTCTAAGTAAATTCCACAAAAAAAATTTTTCAGTATAAATATTTTTTTAACATTATTTACTTGATTAAAGAATCATTTTTAAAGTGTACTGTACCAGTAGTCCCCTTTCAATTCATAAATATACATGATGCTGAACTGACAGATGAGTCTTTATTTTGCAGGTGGTTTATGGGTGGAATATCACGGCAGGCTGCAGAAAATCGTCTGAGACCGCTGGAGTGTGGAGCGTTTCTCATTAGGGAAAGTGAGAGCACACCAGGAGAGTTCTCCGTGTCTGTCAGGTCAGACACACCCTTACAAATGAAACCTGTCTTCACTGGACTATACAGAACACCACAAACATCTACACTTCATATGCTATGTTCACTAATAAGGCTTTTTATTATTCTCTGCATTTGCTGCAAATGTTGACAGCGGACATGTGTGTACTTGCATATGCGTGTGTGTTAATGTGTGTCCTTGTTACCCTATCTGGTTCTTCATTAACACACTCTAATTAGAGTGGAGTGCATGGTAGTGTGTTGCTGTGATGTAATCTTTTTGCTCCCAGCACTCCAGAACCTATTTAAACAGTTCAGAGTTCTCTAGGTGGAAACTGAAACCTTTTAGATATTCCAACCAAAACGTACATTTCGTAACACTTTCTAGGAAACCTCTACAAGGCTATTGCTTTCTGGGTGGTTGCTAGGTGGTTACTGCCCAAGTCAAAAGAGCCTATTAATTTCTATGATATTGTGGACTTTAAACGGATAGATCACCCAAAAATTAAAATTCTGTCATCATTTAATCAATAGTTGTTACAAACCTGAATGAGTTTATTTCTCCTGTTGAACATAAAAGAAGATATTCTGAAGAATGTGTGTAACCAGTCAGTTGAAGGTAGCCATTGACTTCAATACTATGGGGGAAAAAATATGTGAGTCAATGGCTACCGTCAGCTGTTTGAAGAATATTCTCTATTGTGTTCAACAGAAGAAAGAAACTCATACAGGTTTGAAACAAGTGGAGGGTGAGTAAATGATGACAGAATTTACATTTTTAAGGAAAACCTTTAAATGTGACTTAGTCAGATTTTTCACCTGTTTTATTGTCCACTTGTTGCCAAGCCAATTGCTTAAAGGTGCTGTATGTAGGATTGACACCGAGTGGTTGAACTAGGTATTGCAGTCCAAATTAAAAATATTGGAGAGGGTTTTTTTCACCCGGTCCCTCCTCCTCAGACTTCAAGCACACGCAGGTTGCCAGATTGACGACACCAACACTTTCGTTTGCCAGCTTCCATGACTCAAATGAAATACGCTGTGTTTCCCGCCAACTGGCAACCCGGGGTGCCGAAATACAATTGGGTAAACTGGCAGTGGCCGGGTTTCACAAACCAAAACAGAGACCGACATTCCGGCCCGGAACGCACATTTTCAAAGGAGAATAACAGACTGTAGCATTGTTTTTCAGATAAACAAATATGTTAACTTAGCATGTTTCTTAAATATCTGCAAACATATTATGGTATTTTTATGCTTTAGTAGAGTCAAAAACTTACATACAGCACCTTTAATTAATTGACTTTATGATTTCAGGTATCATTCATTTCTGTGGCACAAATGGTGCAGCACTAGAGCATAATAATTATGGATCTGAACAACCCCCTAAGCTTACCCTTACCAAAAAGTAGTATACTTCAAGTTTATTTTAGTAAATATACTTAAGTAAAGTTCAAGTATATTTTTAAGTATACTTTATGTAGTAAGTATACAAATATCAGTGTACTAGTAATAGCACACTTGAATAAACTTATTTTTCGTAAGGGTTAAGTACAAAGAATAATAATAGTAATGCATTCCTAAGTATCAACACCTTTTCTTTTCTTTTATTTACAGCTCATGTTAGAATTCTATTGAAAATGTTGGCAAGCGTTGGGAGGGTGGACATAGATTATTTTTAGATCGCTTTGCTGTACACCTCTGAAGACCTGACCTAAAACGTCAAATCCTACTGAGACAGAGAGAAAGAAATACGAAGAGAAATCAAGGGACAGTTGCAACACAATCGCAGCACAATGAATCCAATTCTGCCAGATATTATTAGCATAGTGCTTCCTAACAAGCCTGAGTACCTGAGGCAATCACAGATGTTTCATTGTGTGTTTACATGTAAGTGATAGAGAGGGAGAGAGAAAGCAAGAAAGAAAAGAGAAGGTAAGAGAGAAAGATACAGTAATAATCCGTTATATGTTCATGTAAATTAACTTTTACAAACCCAGGGACCCCTGGAGTAAAAACAGTTAGAATTGTTTTAGGAACATTAATTCATATTAATGCTTGAAAGATCATCAGCAAATGTTCATTCAAATAGAAATGTCATACAAATTTAAGAAAATATTTATATATCATGTCTACGGACCCCCAGGGGATCATAGTCATAGTTGTTAGATTATTGTGTAATTAAGCACAGCTGGAATGCTGTATTGACTAATCATCATTCAGGAATGAACATGGGTCAAAGACGAAAAAGGGTTTTTAAGCATTAAAATAATACAGTAAAAGTTTAATACAGCTTTACATTTTTCTGTAATGACCATCATACATTTTTATATTGATTTACAGAAAAAAATGTCATTCATAGTAACAATAGGTTGTATACAAAAAAAAATCTTGTCAAGTATGTCAAGATCATGTGACATTGGAGATTAATATTTTTTATCATCACAGAAATAAATTATATTAAAATAAAAATGTAATGTATTGTAATCATTATCAAAATTTTACTACATTGTTAAAAATTGCTGTAAAAAAACGACTACATTTTGACAGTAAAATACTGTTTTCCATTAAAATTTAAATAAGTTCACAGTACTAACACCGTTTGAATAATAGTTTTTAAACTCAAACTGTTTGAAGCAATCGGTTTCCCAAATGAGCTGAGTTAATTTACATGGTAGTATTACGGTAGCATACTGTAAAAATGAAAAGCTGTAAATTAACAGTAAAGGGTTGTAAATTAACAGTACATTACTGGCCATTTTTACTGTATTTTGGATAAAGGAATAACTTGAGCATATAAGAGTCATCTGTCAGAAACATTAAAAAACTCATACCAACTCCAAACTTTTGAATATAGTAGCATATTTAGGCAGTTTGAACCTATTGAAAATGATAAATAGGGTCATTCGTATTGTTTTGGGCTTATAAGATTAAAAACTCAATGTAAATACAGAAACCACAATGCTACACAAAAATCTGAAAATTAATGTGAGACAGTTTTGAGTTGGATCTTGTGTCTGAGAATTGTTAATATGGGTCTAGTATAAGTCATATCTAATGACTGTGATTGTACTGACTCAGTCTTGCTCTCTCTAAACATGCCCTGTTGTTTTGATGATCTTCAGTATAACTCACACACACGCACACAAATCCACATCCCTGAGGCAGTTCCTCATTCTGTCAGCATTTCTGTCTGAACAAGCAGAGTGATCCATGCAGTATTGTGTGGACTGATGAGCATCTATCTGTGTGTGTGTGTGTGAGCAAAACCCACACAGGTTAAAAGCAGGTGTGGTAGGGTGGAGTTTCCGGGTGATTAAAGACACCTGCCCCAGGAACAGGGTGTGCGTCAGTGCCTGCACATTTCTCACTAACACAGAAAACAATTAATAGCATGTTTTCAAATGTATTTTTCTGTAGAATGATTTATGTCGAATCTTCATTATAAGACTGATCAATATCTTGCATTTATATTTTTTCCAAAGTAATTTTATTTTATTTTACCTTTCTTTTGGTAATATTTCATTTATGATCATTTATGTTAATGGCGTTGAAATTCTGCAGCAGAGCGATAATATCTCAGATCATTATCTAGTCTTGTGTATACTCCATGTAGCTAAAGCTTCAAACTCAACTCCTTGTTACAAATATGGTAGAACCATCACTTCTACCACAAAAGACAAAAGAGCTTTGTAAAAAATCTTCCCGACTTGTCTTAATTCCTCAGCATATCTGATAGCTCAGAAAAATTGGATGTTGTAACAGAAACTATTGACTCTTTCTTTTCTAGCACTTTAGATACGGTTGCTCCTGTATGCTTAAAGAAGATTAAGGAAAACAGTGCGACACTGTGGTATAATGAGCACACTTGCAGCCTAAAGAGAGCAGCCCAGAAAATGGAGCTCAGCTGGAAGAAAACAAAACTAGAGGTGTTTTGTATTGCATGGAGGGTAGTACTTCCTCCTACAGAAAAGTCTTAAAAATGGCTAGATCTGCTTACTTTTCATCTCTTAGAAGAAAACAAACACAACCCTATGTATTTATTCAGTACAGTGGCTAAATTTACGAAAAATAAAGCATCAACAGGAGCTGACATTTCCCAACAGCAGTAATGACTTCTTTACTTCCAAGATCTATACTATTATAGATAAAATTATAACCATGCAGCCATCAGCTATCGTGCACTGTAGATCCCCTGAGGAACAATTCCACACATTTTCTGCTGTAGGAGAGGAAGAATTGTATAAACTTGTTAAACTTGTTAATCATCTAAACCAACAACATGTATGTTAGACACTGTACCATCTAAGCTACTAAAAGAGGTGCTTCCAGAAGTCATAGATCCTCTTCTTCTTATTATTAATTCGTCATTGTCATTAGGATATGTCACAAAAACTTTCAAACTAGCTGCTATTAAGCCTCTCATTAAAAAAACACAACTTGATCCTAGAGAATCAGTTAATTACAGACCAATCTCATTTTTTTTGTCAAAGATACTAGAAAAGGCAGTATCCTCACAACTATGTTCCTTCTTAGAGAAAAAATGGTATCTGTGAGGATTTCCAGTCAGGATTTACACCGTATCATAGTACTAAGACTGCTCTGAACAAAGTTACAAATGACCTGCTCTTATCATCCGATCGTGGTTCGACACTATCAACCACAACATTCTGTTGAATAGACTAGAAAATTATGTTGGCATTACTGGAATTACAATGGCATGGTTCAAATCATACTTATCTGACCGTCATCAGTTCATAGCAGTGAATGATGAGGTATCATATCGATCACAGGTGCAGTATGGAGTACCACAAGGCTCAGTACTAGGACTGCTGCTTTTCATGCTTTACATGTTACCCTTGGGAGATATTATATGGAAACATGGTGTTAGCTTTCACTGTTATGCTGATGATACTCAGCTCTTCACGGCCTGACAAAGCATACCAATTTGCAAAACTAACAGAAAGCAAAGTTGATATAAAAAACTGGATGACTAGTATTTTCCTACTGCTAAATTCTGAAAAAACAGATGTGCTAATTATCAAAAACCTCCGCATGTAATAACCTAGAACACTGTCACTAACACTTGATGTCTGCTCTGTCAGTTCTTCGTCATCAGTTAGGAACCTAGGTGTTCTATTTGATAGCAATCTTTCCTTTGAAAGCCACACTTCTAGCATTTGTAAAACCACATTTTTCCATCTTAAAAATATATCTTAGTTATGACCTATGCTCTCAATGTCAAATGCAGAAACGCTAATTCATACATTCATGACCTCAAGGTTAGATTATTGTAATGCTTTATTGGGTGGTTGCTCTGCGCACTTAACAGACTTCAGCTGGTTCAAAATGCAGCTAGAGTTCTTACTAGAACCAGGAAGTATGACCATATTAGCCCGGTTCTGTCAACACTGCACTGGCTCCCAATTAAACATTGTATACATTTAAAAAGCTTGCTAATTACTTATAAAGCCCTGAATGGTTTAGCTCCTCAGTACTTGAGTGAGCTTTTATCACATTATAGTCCTTCACGTCCACTGCAATCTCAAAACTCTGGCCATTTGATAATACCTAGAATATCAAAATCAACTGCGGGTGGTAGATCCTTTTCCTATTTAGCGCCCAAACTCTGGATCAATCGACCTAACATTGTTCGGGAGACTGACACACTCAGTTTAAATCTAGATTAAATACCCATCTCTTTTACCTGGCATACACATAACACACTATCACATTTATATAATTCAAATCTGTTAAAGGATTATTAGTCTGCATTAATTAAGTCAACCGGAACCGGAAACCTATTCTGAGATTACTGTAGTCACCCGGATTCAGTCCGTATCCAGTCCAGATGGTGGATCAGCACCTAGAGACGACCTTGACAGCCCTGAATGTCAGCAGAGACAGTGTCAACTAGATGAGCCGCAGAGACAGATCCCCTGCAAAGACCTTGTCACCTCGATGGCCACTGACACAAGACCACGGGAACCAGACAAGTCCCCTGCACGATTAAACCATACCATGCTGGTTTCGTCTGTCCAGAGGAGAACTGGCCCCCTGACTTCCAGCCTGGTTTCTCCCAAGGTTTGTTTCTCCATTTCTGTCACCGATGGAGTTTTGGTTCCTTGCCACTGTCGCCTTTGGCTTGCTTAGTTGGGGACACTTAATGTCTGTCAATATTGTCGACTTGATTGCACAGATACTATTTGAACTGAACTGAGCTGGATGATGACATCACTGAATCAATGATGGACTGAATTTTACTGGAAAACTGAGTGTTTACTATTGTATGTATTACATTGCACTATATAAATAAAGGTGACTTGACTTGACTGATTTCTAGCACTCAGCAATCAAATACTGCATGTACTGAAGTGTAATAGAGGAGCAAATATTAATGCTAATTAATAATTATGTTTTTGGAAAACAGTTATTGGTTTAAAAACATTTTTCACATACTTGCAGGACATTAAGACAATGCATGTCTTATTGTATTATTGCATCTTGACAGGATATGCATATGGATATCGTCTGAGAGGAATATTCCTTAATCTAGTTACAGGAGAACAAGCACAGACTTGTTCAGAGTCTAATTTGATTAAAGTTATTAACACTGTTCTTTTACATCGTGACTCAAGAACTTGCTGAGAGCTGTAATGTCAAACTGTGATTTATTAGGCAAAACTTTTAATCAAATACTTTTATGTTCCGATTTAATAAACAGGCAAGTCAAGCCAAGATCTACCCCTTTATCTTGAAGGTAAATAACCCTTTTTCTCTCTCTTTCTAGTTACGGGGACCATGTGCAGCACTTTAAGGTTTTGAAAGATAGATTAGGGCAGTTCTTCATATGGGATGAAGTCTTCAGCTCCCTCAACCAGCTGGTGGACTTCTACAAAATCAACAGCATTGCCAAAGAGAGAACAGTCTTCCTGAAAGAGCCTGAGGGATCATTAGCTGTAAGAGTCACATGTACATGAGCACATGATCTTTGTGGATTGAACAGCATTACTGAGGTGCCAACGTTTAACTCTGGTGAACTCTAATCTGCAAATTTGCAAAGCGATAGGATGTTTGACCAATAAAGGGCATAAAGTCAAACTTTGATCTCTTGGCTTAATACAAAATGCAAAGCTACATGGCTTGAGCATGCAATCATATCCTGTTGCTGATATTTGTTATGAGCTCTTTGAGCCAAATGTGACCCCTCCTTTATCAATATAATATTGCTGAGTTTAGGGTAGTTAAAGGTTACTGTTGGGCTTAGGGAAACAGGTTATCTATGGAAGTTCATTTTCACTTGGGAGTTATTTTATTTGTTTATTTCTCATAAATTGTGACTTTATATCTCACAATTGCAACTGAATTCTGACTGTATTTCACAATTGCAACTTTATTTTTCGTAAATTTCGACTTTATTTCTGACAGTTGTGCCTTTATATCTAATAGCTGAATATTATATTTATATCTAACATTGAATTTGTTTTGCAACTTTCTCAGAATTGCAACTTTTTTTAATTGATTGAATTGTGACTCCCTCACAATTTCTCCTAAATTTCAGTTTTGTTTCTTATAATTGTGACTTTGTTTCTCACATTTGCGACTTTATTTCTAACAATTGTGACTTTATATCTCACAGTCGTGACTTTGTTTCTCACAATTGTGACTTTTTTTCTTGGAATCACAACTTTTTTTCTTGTAATTATGACTATCTCACAATTGCAACTTAATTTCTCCTAAATTTCGATTTTATTTCTTCTATTTGAAATTTTGTTTCTCACCTTTGTAACTTTATTTCTGACAGTCATGTCTTTACATCTCACAATTGTAGCAACTTTCTCATAATTGTGAGAAATTGTTCTCATAATTGCAACTTTTTTTACTGTAATTATGTCTGTATTTCACAATTACAACTTTATTTAAATTTTAATTGTAACTTTAACTTTCTCATAGCCTATTTGTGGGACTCTTTTCTAATAATTGCAATTATTTTCTCCTAAGTAGGACTATTGCAACTTCTCCTAAATTTTTATTTTATTTCTTGTAATTGCAACTTTATTTCTCATAGTCTTGGCTTAATATCTCCCAAATGTGACTTTATAACACATTGTATTATTACTCTGAGGTGGAAACAGGCTTTCATAGGTAGGACTATGTTTTGTTTGACTGCTGATCCAGTGCACAGTCTTGTCATGTCCGTGATTTGTGTGTGTTTCTGTTTCAGAGGCCACGTCATGCCCATGCCCTCTTTGACTTCACATCTAATCATGCAACTCATCTACGCTTCTTGCGCGGTGATGTCATTGACCTGCTCGACTGTTCGGATGCTCAGTGCTGGAGGGGGCGGTGCCGTGGAAGAGTTGGCGTGTTTCCACCAGAGTACGTGCAGCCAATTTACCACTGAACTTCAGCTATGAGTGTCACCATCCTGTACAGCTAAACTCATTGGATGAGAGCCCAAGACATATTCATCAATTACACACACTCTTCATAAATCTGAAGGTAAACTAAGCCTTATTCGTCAATGTTCGGTGTATCAGGTGATTAAGGTCTATTAAGGTTTGAATTCAACCTTATGTGTCAAAGGTCAGCATTCTCCTTTGTTGATTGCTTTCAGAAAGCAAATCAGAAATCAGTTATAACTTGTCAACAAACCAGTTTTTGTAACACTCTTAATAACAATTAAGGGTGACAGTTCGGTGTCATTTACTCATTGATCAGCCATCATCTGAGCTTCCTGTCTATTCTTCTTTCATATACTTTCAAGTCATTTCAAATCAAGGTATGACATTAGAGTTGGAGTATCAACCTTGCATTTTTTCATTGCACTTGATGTTTTTATTGATAATACAAAAAAAAATCATGTCATTTTTTTTTCAACCACAAGTGAAGCAGACCTACTATATATTTCTTATTTTTTCATATTTTATTCATTTATTTTTTCTTTACTGTGCTAATGCCATAAACATATTTTTGAGGATTACTAATGACGTTATATATTTTAAATCATTTGCATGTTGATTTCTCTGTAAATACTGTGGCGTTGTGGTGCTATCATAACATTTGCTCGACCAATGCTGTGAGTTTGGGGCAGGGCTATCAATTTGATCATCCATTGGCAGATTTGGGCAGTGTCGAGGATGCCTATTGCATTTATTTTATTATTAATTCTGTTTAGTGCTACAGAAATTACACACTTTACCCTTTTAATTTATTTGATTTAAATTTTTTTACTGTAGTGTTGACACAATTACCATAAATAATTGTTTAGACTACTAGTAATTATATAAAAATGCTAATTTAATTTCCTAAACCATTAAAATTAAATTAATTTAACTTTTTCTATACTTATTATTAGAGTGAGAGGGAGTTATTTCGTTGTTATCATTAACATGTTTGTTCAGGAAGACCTCTGACTGATGTTCTAATGGAAAACAAATGTTGGATCCACCTATGCCATGTGCAAACATTTGGGACTCTAGTACTATTTACGACATGACCCAAAAAATAAGCAATAAGCTAATATTACATTTTGAGTGACGTAATTGAAATAATTATTACTCTCTACTGGTCAGTTTATTTACAACAAGCAATGTGATTTTATTTATATTGACATGTATGATGTGTAAAATACACAGTATATCAGCAAGAGAGGCTTTGCTGCAACGCTTCTGTTCTGACATGTAATGCAATAAAATCAAAGTGCTGACTCATCTTTACATCTATTATATTGCCTGCACACATTTGAACAGCCAGCATTGCTATTTATGTTGTTTAACAGATGATAGACATTTTAAATTTAGAACTTTTGTAGAAATATAGCAATGTCAGTTGTAATAATTTATGATAATGTAAGGATGTGTACAAGCAAATATTCTGTCTATGAACTATCAACTCAAGGGAAAAAATAAACTTGTATTTAATATATGTGTATTGCTTGTACTTGCTGTTCCCAATTGTATTCCAAATGTAAAGGAGGATTAGTACATCTAGCCCAAAATGTTTTCAAATCTTCAAACACAAAACACTTGGTTTACACATTGCTTTGTGATTTTAATGAATCGATTTTTCATTTGCACATTAACAATAAAACATAAATTTAAGAGAAAACAAAAAGTTGAACATGAACAGCCACAAATATTTAACAGTTAGCGTTTCATATAACCCACCCTAATTTTCTTCTCTTAAAATAATCTACATGCTGTTCTTACAATCATATAATCTATGGCTACTCTCATGCTATTGTTGAAATAATTATTCAGACACAAAATACACAGTCATTGATGTGCTGTACAGAAAATTACAGTTTAATCACCGTTCATTTTTTTCCAAGAAGCAAAACTGCAGTTACATTTACACCCACATCTTTGGGAGTATCTAGAAATGAGCATATTTTTTTTCCCCCCAGTCAATTCAAACATATTTATCAAACATATAAAAAGATCTTACTATAAGCATAATGTATTACCTTTTTAGCGTGCACTGTGAGAAAACGCATGGCAATTTATTTGTTGCTCTATTCACAAAGGCAAATATACAGTTCTTTAAGGTAGAGCATAAATGCATTATATGTAAAGCTAACTGAACAACTATTAAAACAATCTATAAAATGTCTTATGTAGCCCAATAATTTAAAGGGATTTTATGGGCGTTCTTTCCGCAAAAAATTAATAAAAATTAAAAGGTAATTGTGACTTCTTATCTCACAATTAGGGACTTTTTCCTCACAATTCTGAGTTTGTCACATGATTCAGACTTCAGACCTTTTTTAATTTTATTTCATGGCAAAAACAAAAAAACAGAATTGCGAAAGGCAAACTCACAATTCTGAGAAAAAAATTTAGAATTGTGAAAAAACTTGCAATTTTTTCCTCAAAATTGTGGGTTTATATTTAAAATTTTATTTCATGGCAAAAACAAAAAAACAGAATTGCGAAAGGCAAACTCACAATTCTGAGAAAAAAATTTAGAATTGCGAAAAAACTTGCAATTTTTTCCTCAAAATTGTGGGTTTATATTTATTTATATTTTTTTAGAGAAAAAGAAAAACAGTGAGTTGCAGAACCATGTTTCCATTGGATTTAAATCACTATTTATTTAAAAAAATTAATTTTATCAATTTAATTCTAATTTTAATATTGCTGTGTAGTAAGTAAAATTCCAAAGGTTTTAACAGAAGTCTAAGTGTTGAATTCCTATTAACAAAAAAAAAAAAAAATTTTGAAACATTCACACCTTTTAAAACACACCACAGACATGGACTTTCAAAAACAAGCAAAACACAATGGTTTTAATTGTTTGCTTTTAACAAAGATTGCAATTTTATTTTAAACCATGTGAATTCATTTTAGTTATTCTGGCTTGTTTCAACATGTGTGCTTGAAAAGATATAAAAAAAAAAAAAAAAAAAAAAATGTGTGTGTGGCGGTGTGTGTTATGCATAGTAAGCATAGAGGAAGATGTTGACACACATGAGAATGAAGGCATTGACACAGCAGAAGCGAGACCAGAAGGGATCTTCTCTGGTGCTGGGAATAACGGGAGGTGGCGTCCCAGGTGCAGATCGGCCAGGTCGAGGGCTACAGAACCCAGCGGTGCGGACACACTTACCCCTGCGCACAGACTCACAACCTATATTGAAACAAAAATATTGGATGTGAAATTAACTGGCAAGAGAATCGTACAGTAATACCATGATACTTTGATAAATATTAAGGTACTGAATGATTGCATTTTATAAACTAAGGGATTTACATGGTATTCTAAGGTTTTTAAAAGAATACCAAGGTATTATCATGGAACAATTTTGAAAACCTGACTTCATATAATTAAAAGGCTTTATAGCAGAATTAAATGGCATATTGCATGATTGAATGCTGAGATGTTTCATTTTAACCTTCATTACAGTTTTCTAATGTTGTGTTTGGTAACATAATCCACCGTATGCAGTAGGCTGTCTTGCATTCAAAACCAAGAAAATGACAATTGGTATTTTTCTCAGTTCCTTGTGAATGTTCTCACGCATATAAGACACTTTTGTTTTGTCAACTGATACACAAATATAGAGCGGCACCACACCCCGATGAATAGACCACAACAATCCTCATGAGATCTATCATGCTGTAAACTCCTCTCCCACCTCTGTTCTGTATCAGGAAGCTGGATTAGTGTGTTGTGTGTACAGGTTTGACTGTACTGTACCTGTGAGGTCCAAAATGCCCTCACTATTAAAAAATGTCCTTACTAAGATAGTGAAACCTGTTGAAGACTGACTAGTCCTTACTAGTTGATGAGGGTTACAGTATAAATCAGCCAAATCATGTTTCTATTTAAATCTAGTATTTCTGTGAGGGTTATGTTTAGCAGTAGAGGTCTGGTTAGGTGATAGAAAATAACATTTATTGTTATTATAAAAACAATGGAAGTCTATGAGACATCCAACTAATATAGTGAAACAAATTAGATGTGTGTGTGTGTGTGTGTACATGTTTTTCTATCCCAGCTTATAAATCAGACAAAATGAGTTTTTTTGATAATGTAAAAATGCAGAAAGCTTTCTGTGAGGGGTAAGTTTAGGTGTAGGGTGATATAATATACAGTTTGTACAGTATAAAAACCATTACGCCTGTGGAGAGTTACCACAAGGATAGTAAACTAGACGTGTGTGTGTGTGTGTGTGTGTGTGTGTTCCATACCGTCCGTTCTGCGGCTGAGTGTAGTTACTTTCTGTAGAGGTATTTCTCTCTCAGTGCTGTTGTGGAGAGTCCACCAGGTAAGATTAAGCGTCTGAAACAAAATCAAACACACGCCACTCTAGACATGATGTACTGCAAATACACGTCTGGATTTAAATAAATGTATTAGATTAATTAATTAAATATTAAACAAATCCTGAAGGAAGGGATTGATTAAGACTCATACAGAGGCAAAAACAATACAATATGTAATTATTTAATTATTATTATACAATTAATATACAAAAACCTCATTTAAGATAATGGGTCATGTGACAACAATGTAGCATACTACTGTTTGCATAATGCATACTGGTTCACACATACTGCAGCAAGTAAAGCACCATTCAAAAATTTGGGGTCAGAAAGTTTTTTTTTTCTTTATTAATTAATAGGAATTAATACTTCAATTCAACAAGGATGCATTCAATTTATCAAAGTGACAGTAAAGACATGTTATTACAAAATATTTCTATTTTAAATAAACTGTGTTCTTTTGAACCTTCTATTCATCAAAAAATCCTGAAAAAAAGAATGTGTCATGGTTTATACAAACGTATTAAACTGTTTTAAACATTAATAATACAAATAAATGTTTCTTGAGCACCAAATCAGCATATTAAAATGACTTCTGAAGGATCATGTGACACTGAAGACTGGACTAATGGCTGCTGAAAAAATTCGGCTTTACATCACAGGAATAGCTTGCATTAAAAAATATATTAAAACAGAAACACATTTTTTAAAACTGTAATAATATTTAACAATATTACTGTCTTTATTGTATTCATTATCAAATAAATGCAGCCTTGATGAGCATAAGAGACTTTTTTCAAAAACAATAAAATCTTACCAACCACAAACTTTATTGTGTTGAGACTGGGCAGTTAAAGCAACAAGAATTTTAAAATCATTTAATTATTTAAACGTGTTTTAATCTTGTCCCAATAATTGGTAACTTCTGTACGTGTTCTGAAAGATCCCATTTTTGTTTTATTTTGGAAAACAAAATAAAGAACATTCCCATTAGGATCCTTTTGGAATGGTTTAAAATTTGTTTCCAGAAATTCTGATGTTTTTTTTTTTTTAAACTAAGGTATTATGGGAAAAGCTAAAAATCCATGAAAACATTTTTCAAGAGAGACATTTAC